AACATCTAATAAAGTTATAATATATATTGAGAGAGACAGATAAAGGAGACAGATAAAAATAAAAAGAGACAAATAAAAATAAAAAGAGACAAATAAAAATAAAGATATATATAAAAATAAAGGGAGATAGATAATAATAAGAGGAGAGAGAGAGGAGACAGAGAAAGGAGACAGATGAAAGAGATAGACAAAGCATAGAGAGAAAGGAGACAGACAAAGGAGACAGATAAATACAAAAGGAGACAGATAAATATATATATTTATATATTTATCTATATATATATATAAAGGAGACACAAGACAAAGACACAGACACAGACAAAAAGACAAAGACAAAGACAAAGACGAAGACAAAAAGACAAAGACAACGATGCAGACACAGACAAGGACAAAGACAAAGGCAAAGACAAAGACACAGACAGAGATACAGATCGAGACAGAGACAGAGATAGGGACAGACACAAAGACAGAGAAAGAGACAAACAAAAGCAAAGACGGAGACAAAAACATAGATAAAGACGAAGACAGAGGAGACAGAGACAAAGACCCTAAACCCTAAACCCTAAACCCTAACAATACAAAAACCAAAACCAATATCCCCCAAAAAACAAACCCTAATTCCCTAACCCCTAAACCCTAACCCCTAACCCCTAAACCCTAACCCCTAACCCCTAAACCCTAACCCCTACCCCCTAACCCCTAACCCCTAACCCCTAACCCCCAACACCCAACCCCTAACCCCTAACCCCTAACCCCTAACCCCTAACCCGTAAACCCTAAACCCTAAACCCTAACCCGCAATCATTTCTTCAGCCATGGTGGCTTGTCTGGCCACGCCATCGTCTTTCTCCCTGGGGGGAGGGTTTGTCTCCTCCAGGTAGTAGCGGCGGTCCTCATCTGTCTCTAAGCGGTACGACGGAGACACCCCAACCTCCTCCTCAGGCTCACCAGACCCTGGCTGCATGCAAACCCTAAACCCTAAACCCTAAACCCTAAACCCTAAACCCTAAACACTAAACACTAAACACTAGATGCTAGATGCTAAACACTAAAATATTAAGGGGAAGGTCTGACACTGAACTCACAAAACATATATATCAACGCCAAGGCTATACACGTAAACCCTAAACCCTAAACCCTAAACCCTGGCTAGACACTCCACCCCTAAACCCTTGGGTTTAAACCCTCATGCGCATCGACCGTCAAGAGGTCCGTGAATCTCCCTAGAACAGCGAAAGCGTTTCGGGTTTAGGGTTTAGGGTTTAGGGTGTATTCAAGGGTTTAGGGTTTAGGGTTTAGGGTTTAGGGTTTAGGGTTTACGAGTTTGTATGGGTTGTAGCGCTTGTATGACCACGTGTAGTCTCGCTTGGGGTCGTAGTAAGTCTCCACATAGTCAAAGCCAGCCTCAGCCGTCGTCACGTTCACCGCTACACACACAAACCCTAAACCCTAAACCCTAAACCCTAAACCCTAAACCCTAAACCCTAATTTTTTTTATCATCAAGAGTCTCCGCAAGCAGAAGAGCTACGAGTTACCAGCTGGCATCTCTCGATCCCGCTAGCTTTGAGGGTTTGTTGTTTAGGGTTTTTGAGGGTTTAGTAGAGTAGTGTTTCAAGGGTTTAGGGTTTAGGGTTTAGGGTTTAGGGTTTAGGGTTTGTGGGGTACGTATGAGGCCGTGAGAGAGAACGAGACGGCCCTGGGGGAGGTCTCGCTTGATGGGGATCCAATCCTCGTCGGGGACGGAGTCGGCGATCCCGTACTTGGCCTTGTCTTCTGCGGTGTATGCGCAGACACCCCACACCCCACACACGCAACAAACTGCTGCTGCTGCTGCTGCTGCTCCTGCGGCTGCTGCTGCTGCTGCTGCTGCTGCTGTTGCTGCTGCTCATGCGGGGGCACATGCAGGAGCGAATGCTGCTGCTGCTGCTGCTGCTGCAGTGCACACTTCAGCAGCAGCAGCTGGTGCTGTTACATCTATCAGCAGCAGCAATAGCAGCAGCAGCAGCAGAGATAGAAGCAGCAGAAGCAGCAGCAGCAGCAGTACAACCAGCAAGCAATAGAAACGGCAGCAGCAACAGCAACAGCAGCAGCAACAGAAACACTACCACCACCACCACCACCAGCAACAGCAGCAACACCAGCAGCACCACCACCACCAGCAGCAACAGCAGCAACACCAACACCAGCAGCAGCAGCAGCAACACCAGCAGCAGCAGCAGCAGCAGCAGCAGCAGCAGCAGCAGCAGCAGCAGCGTACCTTTTTGCATGCGTTTGAGTTCTTCTGGGTTGTCTTTCCACTGTCTTTTGATTCGCTCAAAGGTCTCCTCGTCAATGAACATAGGCGACGAGTCCAGCGCCTGTATACACATATATATAAATATAAATAAATATAAATAAATATAAATAAATATAAATAAATAAATAAATATAAATATATAAATTAATATAAATTAATAAATGTATAAATGAAGAAATCAATGAAGTAAATAAAGTTGAGAAAGAAAGAAACTAGCTAGCTAAGTAACTGTTTATGCATGCCGCTGGATGGCTAGCTAGCTAGCTAGCTAGCCATCTACACCTAGCTAGCTAGCTAGCTAGCTAGTTAGCTAGCTAGCTAGCTAGCTAGCTAGCTGTTTGGCAGGCTAGTTCGCTATGTATGACATTCCCTAGCTATCTACCCAGCTAGCTAGCTAGCTACCCAGCTAGCCATCTACCCAGCTAGCTAGCTAGCTATCTACCCAGCTAGCTAGCTAGCTATCTGCCCAGCTAGCTACCCAGCCAGCTAGCTAGCTATCTACCCAGCTAGCTAGCCAGCTAGCTAGCCAGCTAGCTAGCTAGCTATCTACCCAGCTAGCCATCTACCCAGCTAGCTAGCTAGCTATCTAGCTAGCTAGCTGTATGTGTGTGAGCGTACCTGTCTGTATAGAATGGTGTCTCCGTCAATGGTGATGGCTTTGACGGGGAGCTGATCGACGGTGCGGGCGTGGGGGGGGGGCAGCCCCTCCCTCTCGTGTCTTTGTTCTATTTCTGTTTTTTCTTTTGCTTCTGCTGCTGCTGCTGCTGCTCTCACCAGCACCCGCCAGCGCGCTGCCTCAGGCGTAGATCGCTGCTGCTGCAGCCGACGCAGCACCGCTCGGTGTGCTGCTTGTGTTGCTGTAGGGGGAGGAGACAGCCAGTCCTGTTCGTCTGGTCCTCCTGCTGCTGCTGCTGCTGCTGCTGCTGCTGCTGGTTCATCTTGTTCTTCTGCTGCTGAGTCTGCTACTCCTGCTGCTGCTGCTGCTGCTGCTGCGTCGGAGTCTTCGTCCATATATGCGGAGAACTCTCCCTCTCCTGTTTCTGCTGCATCGTCAGCACTGTCTGCTGCTGCTGCTGCTGCTGCTTCGTCGCCGTCATCTGCTGCTGCTGCTGCTGCTTCGTCTCCATGGTCATCGTAATCTGCTGCTGCTGCTGCTGCTCGGGAGAGCAGCAAACTGCCGCTAGCTGCTTCCTCTTCATCTGCTGTCTCAGCGTCAAAGAAGTCGTCGCTGCTGCTGCTGCTGCTGCTGCTGCTGCTGTGTCTTGTGCTTCCTGCTGCTGCTGCTGCTGCATCATCGTCTCCTTGCTGCTGCAGCTCCAATATGTCTTCTGCTGCCTCCATCTCATCGTCAAAAGCAGCAGCAACGGCAGCAGCAGCAGCAGCTGCAGCGGGCGATTGAGTGCAGCCCGAGGCCGCAGCAGGC